ATTACACCAGGATCTGTACAGCCAAACATTACACCAGGATCTGTACAGCCAAACATTACACCAGGATCTGTACAGCCAAACATTACACCAGGATCTGTACAGCCAAACATTACACCAGGATCTGTACAGCCAAACATTACACCAGGATCTGTACAGCCAAACATTACACAAGGATCTGTACAGCCAAACATTACACAAGGATCTGTACAGTCAATAGTAATGTTTTTGGGACTCTCCAGATGGTAGTGACTTTAATACAGTGAACGAGGTGGAGATTAAGACTCCTCTGTGAGGAGTGCATAGTTTTATACTTTATGTTTACAGTCGTAGCTCAGAAGAGTACAAAGGACTGTCAGTTGGTATATTTACCACACTTCCTGGTGCATTTACCGCTGTTACAAAGTGGTGACATCACCAGTAATTCCATATTGCGTTATTGCTCTACGGATCCTGAGTCATTTCACTCTAACAAGTAACATCTGGATCGCATAATTACTTCCCATTCGACTACAAGTCAAATTCCCAGGTAGTGCACTTGTCCAAAATGTTCAGTGTAACCCCTATGTCCCTGTTCCCCAGTTCCCTTGAGGAATGGTGCTCGGTACTCGCATCCCCTTACAATGCAGGAGAGACATCTGAAATATAGGTACACAAAGGTACACAAAGTACCTAATATACTGGGACCGTCTCAAAGCACTAAAAATGTGTCCTCTGGACATAAGACAAGGCATTACATGGAAGATACCGGAAGTTCAGGTCCCAAATGTGCAGTAAAATATATGACAGAAAATGGGGAATAAAGACATCACGTTAGTGTGTTTTCACTGTGTGTATATACCACTCTTATGAACACCAGAGGTCCGCGGCTTATCAATCCCCTTTCCATCAAATATAATAAATACTGCCAGCACAAAGCTAGACATTTTCAAGAGAGAATGAACAGGTTCCAGTCGGAAGTACTGGATTAGCCAAGATGTAATTGATATGTTGGCGTGAGGGTCGACTGTCAAACCATCTAAATGGCTTGGACAGTTTGATTGATCAAACACCACCATCAGCTATTCTCACCTGAGTCGCCTGGACCCTGCCCGAACTGTTGCTGAACTCTGGCAGCTGGTCACATATATACGACTAACAATAGGGCCACACACATGGACGCTGAGACACACATATGGCCACACAGGGACGCTGAGAGACACATGTGTCTCACAGGGACGCTGAGAGACACATGGCCACACACATGAACGCTGAGAGACACATGGCCACGCACTGGAGTCGGTTCTGGTGCATGAACTTGGTTCAGCAGACTGTTGCTGGGAGCGGCCCGCAGGCCCACATATTCAGGTCAACCGTGTTGGTCCGTCACTCCCTGAAGGACCTACCTTACTCAGCAGGTGTCTACTGAACACGTCCACTCGGGTACGGCAATGTTTCTTACATGTGTTGTGAGCATATACTTATCCACCTCTAATGTTCGTATTATCTATAGCCTCTATTTCTTCCATCAGTTTGCATCATTTGTTTCTCTGTCCAGGTATTAGTGTCTGAGCATTAAATAATTATTTTCCTTCTGAGGTGTTTTCTGCATTATTTTACCGTTTGTCTTCTTTTTTATTCTCAGGAAAGTGGCATATTTGAGTGAGAGGTTTTACACTTGGGCCGTCACTGGTTGTAATCGTTGTGTGGTAGTTTGTGTACTTAACACCGTGTTCCAGGTGATGCTTGCTTGCTTCTTCACTGTCCCTGCCAGCCCTCTTTATTGACATGGGATTTACTGAACAGCCAAACATGCTTGCTATTTCCTTTGGATGTGTTACCTGAGTTAATATTAATTTGGACTTGAACGAGTCTGTGGTTCGAGTCTGTAGTGTATGAGAAATATCACTCATTATACCTTCATTGTCTGTGAAAATAAAATAGAGATTATTTTATTCCTAGTTGGTTCAACATCTGTTTTCACACCCCCGTCACTATATGAGGTTGTATAGTTATTCTCCCCCACCACCACCATCATCAATACCTGCCCCCCCCCTTGTACAGTTAACACTTCATCTCCCCCACCACCACCATCATCAATACCTGCCCCCCCCCCCTTGTACAGTTAACACTTCATCTCCCCCACCACCACCACCATCAATACCTGCCCCCCCCCCTTGTACAGTTAACACTTCATCTCCCCACCACCACCACCATCAATACCTGCCCCCCCCCTTGTACAGTTAACACTTCATCTCCCCACCACCACCACCATCAATACCTGCCCCCCCCCCCACTTGTACAGTTAACACTTCATCTCCCCCACCACCACCACCATCAATACCTGCCCCCCCCCTTGTACAGTTAACACTTCATCTCCCCCACCACCACCACCATCAATACCTGCCCCCCCCCCCACTTGTACAGTTAACACTTCATCTCCCCCACCACCACCACCATCCCGGTCAATACCTGCTAACCCCCCCCCCCTTCCTCTCTTTAGTATACACAGTTTCAAGGGCAAAAGCAGCGAGCTCTTTCTTTTGTTTTATTTGCTAGTGTTGTTAATGCTTTTTCTGTCTAATCTTTATTTTGTAAATGTATGCAGATCTAGAAAAGGAGGAATACCACCTTTTCACAAAATAAAAATGATATGGAAATGTTGCCAGGTGCAAACAAAGAAACAGAGTCATGCAACAGATATACAGTATATATATAAGAGACAAAGAGATCAGAAAATCTCGCTAAGAATCACAATGACATTAAATTGCGTAGAAAGCAATATATACCTTCCGCTGGCATCACCGGCCCCGAGGCAGGCCATATATGTTCCTCCCCTCAGCGCCTCACCTCAACCAAAACTCCGTAGTGTGAACGCTGATATTTCGGGTGCGACACTTCACTCGCGTATTGCCCTTGATTGACTGCATATTTGATCTAGCAATCAATCTCCCACTGCATTTATCAACTCAGTCTCCTCTCAAGGTAACGTTTTACATACACAATGAGCAGAATTTCAATAAAATTTCCTCCGAAACTGTTTCAAATGAAGCTGAGTGTGTTTATACGATGAGCGACAGGGATTTATAATGGGTCAATTATAAATTATAAGAAAGTCAAGTGTGCAATCAATTGAGGGATACGACAATGGGCTGAGGTTAATTTTACTTGAGTCTGGGTCGATGCAACGTTCGATGAGAGAGAACGGAGCAGCAGCAGCACCCGGGGTGGACCCAGTAACGTTTCTCCTGGGTAAACGTAGGCAAGAAACGTCTCTACCTTGTGGTGGACCCAAAAATGTTTCTCCTGCGTAGGAAACGTTTGTATTGCACATCTACCCTGAAGCACACTAGCGTAAGGTGACGTGCCAAAAATACTTGTATAGTAATTGTAGTGTAGAAGTAACTACCTCTTACAATATAAAAATCAACATTCCTTTTAATAGACAATGGATTAGCAGGTATATTCACATTCTTCAAAATGAACCTCATATAGCGTTTTACTGATAAAAAAGTTTTACAGCTCCACTTTACAAATCAAAAATAAATTCAGGTATACTTTAAATGAAGATCTCAATCATATGAAATGTAAAGTTAGAGGTTGTCACACAGTGGAACACTGCCAAACCTTGTGTAAGACAAAAACCTCTGTAACAAATGGCGCATCACTTTTGTTAATGAGATCAACTGAAGTCTTTACGTTATATATATAATTCTGATCAAATAGTAAATCAAGTAACGTAACCATGATGCTTTACTACCATTTCCAGCACGAGGCCATTATCCACACTACCATCGCTCACACCTATATATACATACACTAGTGGAAATGTATTTTCTAAACGTTTAAATGTCTTGCCTACGAACAACTTTTATCGAAATCCACCATTGTATATGTTTACTCAACTAATTGTGCTTGCTGGGGTTGAGCTTCGGCTCTTTGGTCCCGCCTCTGAACCGTTAATCAACTTGTGTACTGTGAGTATCCTTGAAAGATGTAAGGGAGATGTGAAGGAGGGTGAGTATGAGACACTACAGGCATCACTTGTTGCACACTTCAACACCTTGGGCAAGACGTGTTGCATAATAATAATAATAATAATAATAATAATAATAATAATAATAATAATAATAATAATAATAATATTAATAATAATATTAATATTATTATTATTATTATTATTATTATTATTATTATTATTATTATTATTATTATTATCAAACCCAAATGCTTGCATAAGAGAGAAGAAGAGTCAAGAGACGCACATCTCAGCCCCAATATTTGTGACAAGTATAGTACCACCAGTTCCTGGTCTTGCCTGTACCTTTGTCAGCCTCCTGGCAACTGTTCCAGAGGCGTTGAGAACCAGTGGTGGAGTTTGCTTGTGAGGGTGGTGCGAGGGGAGGAGATGGCACTTAATGCCGCGAGTGCCAGCTAGGGCCACCGCCAGTGCCGACCACTACGCAGGTAAGAAGGGCTCACCAAGGCAGACACTTCAGGCATCATGCCGCTCGCCCTCTCTTCTCCAAGGTCATGAGAGACACGTCAATATTCCTCGGAGGCTCTCCTGTGGCAGTGATACGACGCCCTCTGGCACCCACTCTTGCTTACTCACGACCTGTTGTGCCCTGCAACACCTTAGTAATTACTGGCTGTTGCAAGCAGTAGCAGGAGCAGCACCATGTTACGTCAGGGTGGTGGGCGTCAAGTATCTTTCCCCTCACCTTGCCTGCCCGTCCCCTCGTTTTCCCCTGCTGCTCCCTCCTCGCCTCCCCCCGCCCTCCCCACCTCACACCGGCAGCCATGTTGGATGTGGATTACCTCAACCAATCACCATCGTTCGATATCGTAACAGAGAAACAAAAATATAGAGGCACATAATGAAGGATGTTGTCGTTGTATGGTGGTACAAGGCCGTGTGAGGCTGCCATAGTGTAGGCTATACACACTAGTCAACTGTTGTTGCTGTGAACAGCTGGGCAGAGGAGAGCGTAGCTACACTGACGCTGTCAGACAACACTTACCTCACTACACTCAGGTGGGACGTCGGGCAACCCGTTGAAATAGGTGGAGAGGCAGCAGGTAGAGGCCAGCACTTGTGAGAGGAGCACAAGGAAATTCTTGTGTCAGGGATCAAGAGGGAAACCTCTTATGACAGGTTTTATGGCGAGCCAGTGCCTGCCGGGCACAAGATGGTCTGTAGAGGGACCGCTACGCACTGTGCCACCCTCTGAGACTAACTCAGTAAGATGGAAAGGTGACGTGGAGCATCAGAGGTCAGGTTAGGTCACAAACTTTGCCACATGGTCGCACGGCACCTCACCAGCTGATCCTGCCACTGGTCACTCCAGTCTACTGCCGGGGTGCCTCCACCTGTGCCACTCTCATACCGCCACACTCCCCTCACAACACTCACGCCACCAACATTCCTCCTTCAATCACCATAATAAACATAAAAACGGATGTAGCCATTGTAAAAATATTTATTATCCATTAAAATATCACCCTAGTGATATAAATTGTATTTGTTATTGGTGTTTGTACGTGTGGCAGGGAAGGAGCAAGGAGTCGGGGCCGGCACCGGTCCGACTCCCACACACTTTCTTCTGCATGTTCTTTACACTCTAACACACACTTACACAACTCACTAATGCCATACTATTACCTTAATACACCTTATACTCTAATTTCTATACAATGTAATACTCAGCGGTCAACAACATTGAATAAGACAGGCTGTAATATTGTTAGTAATAAAGCTGTGTGCAACTGTTGCCTGGCGGCGCGCGCCCGGAGGCTCCCACCTTCACCCGACCCACACTTCAAACTCCCAGATTAACCTTCATCCTTGCTGCACGTATTGACAGCTGAAGACAGAGATCAGCAAAAGCGGCTACAATTTAATCTAATGCCATAATAGGTTAGCAAATATAATTAGTCTTTAAATAATAACAAGTATTGATAGCGGAGAGCGGTTGAACTTGTGTCAAACACCAGATGCTGGACAAAGAAAACGGTAGACAACCGATCAATACTAACAATATGTCACAGAAAACACTGGAAATGTCGCACACTAAAGCTAAACACACTATATCATGTACAAAACTAATTGTATAAGTAACCGGAATCCTAGGTAACTGAACACCATAGAAATGTTCATTAACAAACTAATGCCATTTTCAGGATACACATACATTTTCCTATTCTGCTACTTGATTTCTCTACAGGTCATTTATCTTTCTCCACCCCATGAAAGTGGGAGCAGGATAGGCTTATACATAATAATGTCTATCTACCTCTGACTGGGGTGGCGGTATCGATATAAAAAAAGAAAGAGATTTGCATTCAAATCTAAAACTGAGGTGTTCGACACCCGTGGGTAACAAGTGTCACCTGTACTGAGACACCCGGGGTGGTAGGTGGAACACTAGCAAGTGTCACCTGTACTGGGACACCCGGGGTGGTAGGTGGAACACTAGCAAGTGTCACCTGTACTGGGACACCCGGGGTGGTAGGTGGAACACTAGCAAGTGTCACCTGTACTGGGACACCCGGGGTGGTAGGTGGAACACTAGCAAGTGTCACCTGTACTGGGACACCCGGGGTGGTAGGTGGAACACTAGCAAGTGTCACCTGTACTGGGACACCCGGGGTGGTAGGTGGAACACTAGCAAGTGTCACCTGTACTGGGACACCCGGGGTGGTAGGTGGAACACTAGCAAGTGTCACCTGTACTGGGACACCCGGGGTGGTAGGTGGAACACTAGCAAGAGTCACCTGTACTGGGACACCCGGGGTGGTAGGTGGAACACTAGCAAGTGTCACCTGTACTGGGACACCCGGGGTGGTAGGTGGAACACTAGCAAGAGTCCCGCGGCCATGGATGGCATATAGGGCGATATATCATTGATGACAAGGTAGACAAGGACAGCCTCTATACAGCGAGAGAAAGTAGAACTAGAGGAAGCCACCTCCATCCACAACTTTAAAAAGTCAGATTCAACAAAGAATTTGAACGTCAGAATAGTTAAACTATAATGCAACAGGTACATCAAGGCTAGTAAGCGTGCCATAAAGAGCTAGTTCTTAAAAGATTGAGCTTCGGTTTCACACGCCTGGGGTCTACGGTTCGAGTCTCCTAGAGCCCAAGTGAATGGACAGCTTGTCCCTACTTCCCCGTAGACATTTCTAGGTACGTACTTACACCTCACATCAGTTTACTGCCGTCCAACAAACACCAGTTACTCACGTAGTTGTGCTTTAGGGGGTTGAGCTCTGGCTCTTTGGTCCCGCCTCTCAACTGTCAATTAACTGGTGTACAGGTTCCTGAGCCTACTGGGCTCTATCATATCTACATTTAAAACTGTGTATGGAGTCAGCCTTCACCACACCACTGCCTAATGCATTCCCACCTGTTAATTACTCTGACACTATAAAAGTTCTTTCTAACGTCCCTGTGGTTCATTTGGGTACTCAGTTTCCGCCTGTGTCTCCTTGCTCGCGTACCACCCGTGTTAAACAGTTAATCTTTATCTACCCCTGTCAATTCCTGTGAGAATTTTGTAGGCAGTGATCATGTCTCCCCTAACTCTTCTGTCTTCCAGTGTCGTAAGGCTCAGTTCCAGTAATCTTTCCTCATAGAACATTCCTCTCGGCTCGAGGACTTGCCAGAAGGTGTTAGAAGAAGCGAGAAACAAACTCCTGCACATCAGTTTAAGGCTTTCTTAGAAGGAGTGAGAGACAAACACCTGCATAAAGGTTAAAGCGTTGTTAGAAATAGCGGTAGAGAGCGACGAACACTTGCCAGACCTCTGAGCAACAGTGTCGTCTGCGCACAAGCAGACGACACTTCCCTGCAAAGCTATAAACGACAGAAAGCCCCCCGCAGCAAGAGACAAGTGCGCATCATAACACACTTTACAACCATTTAAAGCGAATCAAAATTTCATTTAAAATAGAATCATTGGTTTATTGGAAGGTTCTGGAGAACGTTGGAGCCGCTTATGTTTTCTTTGGAGGTGGCAGTGTTTTGTAGTGAGAAGAGTAACTCAGTAGGAAGGGTCAAGTGGGTCAATGTTAACAGGCGCCTTCCCTCCATCATAAGGTGAGTACCGAGCACACTTACAACCTCAGTCTTCCCACACCTCAGTCACCAACAACGTTACTCACCTCCATGAAGTATTCTTTGCACCGGTTCTACAAATACTCGCAGATCAATTAAATATGCGAAATGATAACAGTCAACACTATTTTAATCACATATAATTTGGACTTGTTTATTCGAGTGAAAAATACAGATGTATTCGTTAGGGTAAAATATATATTTAGACCGGAAATGGGGAGGGAAATCGATACGGGCGCCACATTCATAAGCAAGAGGTTTGAATTAGTTGGGGGGTAGAAATAGCCTAAGCTACTCTATCCCTTTGAGATGTATTTCTTTCTTATCTCAATAAACATACTTGAACTTGAACTTTAACTTGAGTTAGTTTACTCAGTATATTGTGGAGCCCATAAGAGGATGGTGGAGCTGAGCACTATGGTATACTCACACGGTGGCTTTACAAGTGCTTATACTCTGCCTATAGTAGGCTAGCCTCACATACCTAACTCAAGTTTTGGGTAACTTGTCAATTTTTAAATAATATTTCTTGAACATTGTGCAAATAGAGTGCTCTAAATTTTTATTCCTTTTCACGTTAAATTTAGGGTTTTACTTATCTAAATTATCTATGTTATAATTCTAAAAAAAATTATGTTTATAGCTCATTGCAGTATTTTTATATATGATATAAGGTAAGCACAAGGCTTATTTCTGGGAAGACATGAGTGGAAAGATGTGATAGTCTGCGAAGCTGCACCCCACGTTCAACACTGTGTGTTGTGTCCACACACTTGTCAACAAATTTTGAACAAGTTTAAAAGTGAATGTGTTCACAAATTTAGTAATCACTTTTAATTACTTAAATTATAATTGATTTGTCTAGTATAGTAACTGAAATTAAATGATTACCATTGTAAAAATATAGAATAATGATGCAAATTATTATGTTTTTGCGATTTATAATGGGGGAGGATTTGGAAAATTGTGAGCGAGGCACGCCATCTGGGACCTTATGAACACTGGTGTAGTGCGTCTCCCACAGTTATGCCAGCCACTTAGCCTTCCCTTACCCCCCCACACCCACCTCTACACCTTCCCCCACCTCCTCCACCCCCACACCCCACCCACCCCACACCCCACCAACCCCACACACCTAAGCACCCAAAACTACGAACCTGCAACTATCAGAACTGTACCAACAGCACTGTGGGCCTCTGGACAAAACAATGCAGTAGGTGGTGGGCCTCCTACTGCATTGTAGGTGGCCCTCCCACCCTAGGGTGGGTGGGGTGGTGGCCCACCCCACCCACCCAAGGCAGATGGTGGGCCCAGCCCGTCCACTAAAGTGCAGGATTACTGTCAGATAGTTTTGCAGAAACTACTTACATTATAAATATAATTTGAACAAGGATTTGAATCCCAGGTCTTTCGAGAGGTGGATTAATTATATCCTTTTGCCAAGACATCTCTAATGAACAATATGGTAGCATGGTGGGGGGGGGGAGTCGTGGGGCCCCTGTGCAAGTGCCCAATGTGCTCATGCGTTAAGCCAACCATACCACCATACCATACCAAGCCCCACAATATATATTTCTAAAATATAAGGGTGAGGGGCGCTGCCCCTACCATGATGACGGTGAGGACCACGACCCCCGGCCTGACAGTCAGCTCATTTATTGTGATATTGTGATATACAAGAAAGAACATTGGGTTGAGAGAGTACATACACTGGGGCGTAAGTTTAACAGTCTGCCAAAGCCACTGACACGCACAGCGTTCCGGACACCTCCTTAAGTTAAAGAATGAAGGTAGCAGAATTTTAGTTGAACATAATTACTACATTATAGATTGATAGAATAGGTTATATTGATGAAATTGAATGCATTAGATACTAAACCGGATGAGTGGAGTAGCACAAGGTGGGACAATAAGATGAAATTAAGTATTTTTTTCTTTTGAATAAATTAAAATTAACATTAAAATTAAAAGTTGGACAATCTTTTAAATCATTACCGAGTGAATTTCATAAACTGGGTCCTTATATTTGCACATATTTAGTCTAACTGGGGATATCAAAGATATATTTATTTCTGGTCTGGTCTTAAGTGCACATTTAGAGTCTTAGAGCCTATCGGTACGAACCTGTAACAACGTTCTAGGTCCCTGTACTTGTTGATTTTCTGGGTCTCCCTGAAGGTGGCCGCCCTGCCTCCCTCAGCTGTACTGTGAGGTAGATAGGTATCAGCCAATGTAGAT